GTCCGTCCTCGCCAACTATAGTTCCAATCTCTGTGTCTGCTATCCTCAGTTCCCGCCGGCCGTAATCGCTGTCTTTCTTTCTTTCTTTCTTTCTGCCTCCTTCGTTTCCACTACATCTCTGCCTCGTCTGTCTCCACTACTGCTTCGACTCCCGTCTGTCTCTCTCACTGTCTAGCGCACTTATATACGATAATACTGCCTGTTCTAGAAACTTCTAAGACTCTCAACACATGCTACCAGCGTCACTTGACTTCTGCTGTCGTAACACACTAGCGAATCTTCTAGAATACTCGTTACGTGACCCCCACTGTCGTAACAATATTTTTTGGAATTTTAGTCAGAATGTTCCTGAAGAAGAAGAAGAGTCTACTTTTGAAAAGCACTTGTAAGATCCAAGGATTTTAATGATGGCAAACTAGAAGCTTAATGCACCAAACATGTTACCTTCAAGGGAGAATCTTTGCAAAGGATTGAAACAGAGCATCAGTTTGAAGTAGCTAAGAAGCTAGCCTCATGGAGGGGCATAGTAAGCTGCTAAATATATTGTAGATTAAATGATCTTGGATAAAGATGGCTTTCATGGGCCACAGAATGGGAACAAGAACTATATGAGGGATCAAGGAAAAGCCATAGATAACAACACAAGTTGTATCTTTTGCAAAGGATTCAACTCATAAGGTGGATCATCTATTCTGTTCCCTTCAGCCATCTCAGCATGGAGGAAAGAATTAACTTAAGAATTTCCATTACTTTCCTTGATGATTTAATTGCCCAGGACAGGTTAATTAGGTTTAAGGAAACAAAAAATCAAACAAATGGGTATATAATGAACAACATCAGATGGTGGAAAAACAACACTACAAGAAATTGTCACTGTGCTGGCCGTATTTTTTCTACTTATTATAACTGTTATGTTCTCAGATACACTGATAAGTATCAGTTAAGTTTAGTAATTGTAATGACTGGAAATATGCAGAATATGTTTTGCACAGCTAAACTTCATTTCATACTTTACTGAGTTGAAGAAAAGAAACAGGATATAATGTAAAACAAAATGTACACAGGTATATTTATTTGTAAAATGAAGAAAACTGTGCAACTTTGATATCACTACCCTCTAAACAGAGAGTGTTTTATTTCAGAGAAAGATCTGAATAAGATTGCCCCCCTCCCCCTCCCCAGTGGCACAGTGTTAAGTCTACAGACAGATTTTGGGTTTTGATACTTGTGATGAACACAGCACAGATAGCTCATTATGTAGCTTTGTTCTTAAATACAAACAAACACCTAAACTGAATAAGACTGAGAGAACTTACCACTATGTACTTATTACAGTAGAGTAATTTCTCCCAGAATGCATTAGCTACCCATACCACTTAGCCATCCTATAAGTTAAAATATGGAATACACAACCTCAAGGTATTCCTGAGGGTAATAAGTTAACATAGGGAAGACATAACCTCCAGGTATTCCTGAGGATCATAAGTTAAAATAGGGGAGACATAACCACCAGGTATTTCTGAAGGTCATAAGTTAAAATAGGGAAGACATAACCTCCAGGTATTCCTGATGGTTATAAGTCAAAATATGGAAGACACAACCTCCAGGTATTTCTTATGGTTATAAGTCAAAATATGGAAGACACAACCTCCAGGTATTCCTGAGGGTCTACATGACTCATGTCACCAGAGAACACACTAGTAAAGGTCTACAGAATCATCCAGCAACATGCTCTTTTGGTAATTTCAATAACACCAAAAAGGAATAACCTATAAGCATGTGTGATTAGCATGAAAATAAGGTTGCAATATACAGAGTTGGTTCGATGCACGAATATAGAGGCACCAAACACGACTAATAAAAATTTTGAAATTTTAAGTGAACTCAAACTTTTCACCTTTCTGACCTAAAATAAAAATTTAACAAACATGATATATTTTTTTGAAATACCTTATATACTGTATAAGAAACTTAGGTCTCAACCATGGGTCCACTGAGAGCCATGAATAAAGACATTGATCTGGTTTTCTTTACAGGTCACACTTATCAAATTGTTTGGTAAAAATATCAACATTACACATCTACAAATATTTCATACGTCAAGCACTTTTCATAATATAATCATACTGATTGAGAACTCATTCAATCATATTTTTATCAAAAATTATTAACTGTCATCAAATTTAGTCACTTACTAAAGTAATGAGACTGAGTTTTTTAAATGTTATTCAAAAGTGTGGTCTGATTATGATCACTTTCAGAGTGCACAAAAGAATTATTCATTACTGTAAAAAGAAAAGTTTCTATGCGAGTAGAAAATAAGTCTGAGGTAAATACTGATGATAGGTTACTCAAAACAGAAAGGGTTTTCATAAAGGCAAACAATACTCCTTAGAAAACAGTTTTGTTAACTAATACAGTTTATAAACACTAAATAGAAAACACTGTATGTGACACTGCATATAACTTGCATTAAAAGTTATATATTTAAGTTCTAAAAAAAAAATTGATGAAGCTGTGCTTAAATGTTAATGTTGCACTTTTCATACATCTTGTTTTTTAAATGCTGAAAACAGTTTTATGATTATTATAACCTCAAATGGTATATTACATTGCAAACTAGCATTATGAACTTAGTCACACTTAATGTTTGTTACATGCTTTGGACATGTAAAGTGATACAGTAAATTATGTTTTGATACATAACCACTGCAGTATAAACATGAGCATTTTTATCACTTCCAGTGGAAACATAGTAAAAGTTAATATGAAATATACATACTTGCCTGACCGTTAAAAATAAGCTCTCACAAACTCTTATTATTAAAGTTTGATTGGACAAGAATATCTAAGTTAGGGTATCTTAACTGTAGTTGGGTAATTGCTCTGCATTATGTTGCACAATGAATACAGATAAAAATTAAGTCACCTGGTATTCAGCTACTGCATTCTCTTTTCTTCGTTAATCTAAATACATATATGCATACATAATTAAAGCAAATAGCCCTCCAGAAAAGTACAAAGAGCCATCATTATATTTTAAGCAGTAAAGTGCATCTCTATTCTCTATATCTAAGTTTTTGTATTTATGAAATAATAATATCAAACTCTAGTTCATTTATCACATTTTTGAACAATTGCCATTTTTCAGATGTTTTATTCTATTCTTCATTTATAGTACAATATAATATTTGCATTTGTAAATTTGTGTATAAAATCAATTTTATATAAAATTGTAAAATAAGTTTTTCTTTTTTTCATTAAAGATTTTAATCTGGCTGATATTAAATCAGATTTTTTAACATATCTCTAGTAAGGCCTTTTTTAAAAAATATTAATTCTTAAAGCAAAATTTTAAATGTCATAACAGTATAAATGTAGTTCAGATTCAATACATACTAATTTGTGTAATTAGAGGCCACTTATTGTTTAGCTTAATCACAAAAGGATTAGTGAAAATGAATTAATGAATTAAAGGTACTTGAACAAATGTTATTAATATTAGTATGTATAGGTTAATTGTTCATTAAAATTATGAACTTGTGTTATAGAAATACTAGGCTTAATTAATTTTTCAGAATCAAGAAAGATGTTTGTGTAGAATTTTAAACTATACACATTGTAATATTTTGCATTACAATAAATCTCCTATTGCCAACAAAATATGATTAAGATATAACCAAAATGGTTTTGTTATGATGAAATATATGCATAATATATAACTAGCATACATAGTTAATATATTCTTTATATAAGATTTATATTCATCTCTCTGCACAAGTATTTAAGTTTACAGCTTACTAAAATGTTTTAAGAAAGAGTTTTTAACAAGGTTTTTTTTCTTAAAATTTTTTGTTGATGGTTGTAATACCTCAGATACAGTTCTTTTCAAAGGGTCCCTGCTTGCTTAGTAGTAGATGCTTGGGTTGAGACACTATTTTTGACAACAGTGTAGTCCATAGGCTAGATGGTTCTATAAATAACCTAAGTTGTTGTACTGTAGGTGAATCTCTTACTGGTAACCACATACAAGCTACAAATGTATAGACTAGTGTCAGCATTTGAGCTTAGATCTTTTTTTTTGTTCTTGACAGCGGAGAAACTGAAACATGCGTGAAGAAGTTTCTTTAGTGTGACGTTGGACATATGTTCTGGACTTGGAATGTCATTAGTTTGATTAGATAGAAACTAAAGTAAGAAATAGCTGTATGTAACTGTGTGTTATACAACACAGACAAATATTCAGATTAATCTGAAAATAGTGGTTCTGAGGTCCTTTTTTGTGCTTCTATGTGTCATTTTCATATTAATGAACAACTTGCAAGTATGACTGTATACAATTTTGAGATGAAACAAAGTGTATGGAAACCTAAATAACACAAAAGCAATAATATATTACTGTGTTTGAATTAATGTGCTGCAAATCATCTCATGGTTTTGATTGAATTTAAAAATTTAAAGTTATAGCAGTCATGCGGAAACTTAGAAGTTTGATTTCTCATGCAACATTACAAGTCCAAGAATTTAACTCCTCTTGGTAACTATGTATGTATTACATCTTGTCTCCATCCCAGAAGTGAAAATCTCAAATCAGATATTGTCTATACTCATGTTTAATTGGTACGAACGTGAAATGAAACGAGCTGTTCCTTCTAAACATACTAATTTGCCCCCAGGAGAGAAAGAAGCAAAGAAAACCATCAAGAGATTGTCTTTTAGAGAGCCAGAAGCTGAAGTAGTTCATCACTCCGGAGAAAGAAAGTTAAAAGAACCTAAACAACTTCATTCTCAAATTCATTCAAGTGGAAGTTTGGAAAACTTGAAATTGGAGGTAAAGTCAATATGTGAAACCTATTGTACATTTTCTATATGTTGATTTTTTCTCAGTTTACACATTTAGGTTTGTTTATGATTGTTTTGCATGCACAATATAAATGTGCTTTTGTTGTTATCATACAGTTACAGGCCTTTGGTGTTTTGTGTTAGTTTTACATATTATCCAAAACATTTGTCACAGTAAATGACATTTGATTAATATACACATATCAGGATTACTTCATGTACAAAAGTTATAGATTTTCTAGATATAGCAAGATGAAATTCATGTTGATACTACTTTTACATAACTACAGCATAAAGGTACATGTAGTTTATAGGTTGTATAATTTTGTCAAAACAGCATCTGAAATTTTAACTATGGTGACTAAAATATTCTTGTCAATAAGTAGCATATAACAGTGATAATTCGTTTTTCATTGTAGGTTGGCTTGATTTGGATGCTGTTAAGTGAAAAACTACACAATAGGCTATCTGTGCTCTGTCACCACAGTTATATAAACCTGAATTTTAGCATTGTAAAACTGCAGACTTACCACTGAAGTGGCTTTTCATGTAGAAATGTTCAATTATAATTTCATTACATAATGTCTTTTTAATATTTTAGCTAGAAACTCTTATAACTTTGACTGGAAATTAATCAGAACTGCCTAACCAATTATTATGCTGCTATTTAAGTGTAAATGGCTTTAAGGAATAACATAATTATTATTTAGTTAAGTGATTTTGATGTAAACTGGTTAAACAGAGTTTCAAAGTCACGTGTACGTTAATATTTTTACTTTTACATCCAAAGAACATAAGCTAAAATTATTTCATTAACCCATTTGTAATATTGTTATGACCTTTAACAACAATTTATATTGTCAGATGTAGTTTATTTCTCATTGTAAGTAAATTTACTGCAATTTTTGGATTTCTTTTCCTTTCAGAAGCATAATTTATTCTCTATAAAAGAAATAATTGCATTTTATAATGCATTTAGCAATTGAAATTGGTTTTTAGATTTTATTTTCTGCTTGTTAGGCTTTGAGTTTAGTAGGATGTACTTGTAGAATGATTCATGTGGGCACATTTCCAGCCCTGTTAATTTTCCTTAAGTAGTAATGACAGAAGTTTAAAGCTATCTAACAGTGCGTTACTATATGATTGTCTTGCTTGGTTACTCAGTATGACTAACCAATGTGATATCATGAACTCTATTGGCATGAAATTTACAAGTCTGATGTTGTACAACAAATAGTCAATTACAATTAATATTCATCTCACCTAAACAAAATGTGACTGTATATCAACTGCATCATTATGCTTAGACTAACTTCATTAGAATTCCTACATTAATTTACTCAAGATCACAGGATTCACAATGATCAGCAATATGTCCATCCATACCTTTGAATATTTGAAACTTTCATTCAAAAAAAACAAAGAGTAAAGTTAATAGGTTAAGTGATATACTGACCAATCAGTTTTAGACTTATTGGAAGAAGTTGCTTGCTGTTATATTACATAATAGATTACAGAAATGGATTTTAAGAAGAATATTTGTTTTTTGTCATTTATTAAAAAAAAAGCTTTCTAGATGTATTTGTATAAGTGCATTTGCTACGTGTATTGTGTATAGGTTTTTGCTATAATTAAGCTAAGTCACTTAAACTTGATTCTTAATTGGATGCTTTGTGTGGGTGTGTTTTTTATAATTGATTGCTTATATTTTATCCATACCTATTTTGTTTCAAAATGTTTTACAAGCAGTTGTTAAAACTAAAGAATTTCAAACTTGCCAAAATAATTTTTTTTTTTTTATTTTAACAGTTATATCTAGTAATTCATCTAAGATTATGATTCTGAAGAAAATAAATATAAAAAAAGAGAAAATAAGATAATATTTTGAAAAGAACACATTTATTTTTCATTTTTTCTTGAACAACATGACATCATAGCAAAAATAAAAACATTTAGATAAATGTATAGCAATCAGCACATGATTGAAGATATTAAGAAAAAAAAACCTTTACATTCCAAACATATATATGCAATATAAAAGTAATCTAAACTAATTATGGCTCTCCAAGTAATAATGGTTAATACTATAAGTTAGAACTGTAAAATATTAAATTACAGTGTTGCTTGTATTTGATGACTTAAACTGATGATAATTACGTAGCAAATTGTACTGAAATTTTGTTGAGCTGAAGTGAACAAATCAATGGGAATGTGAAAAAAATCTGCTGTTGATATGATTATTATTTAATCACATTTGTTAGGCCTATTGGTTATAAATGCTTTGTCAGTTTTTGGCTTTTAAATCATAACTTTAAAACAGTCTACCACTGCTTTTGAGCAGGTATTCTTATATTATAGAATAGATAATACATGTATACTTTACAGTTGAATAACTCCATCTAAAACTTATCTGAGATTCCAGAATGGAATTATGTCATAAAATCTGTTATGTCACACAAAAGCAAGCAACTTTCCCATAAAGTGTACTAAAGTAACATTTCTATAATTATTATCATTTTTGCTAATGGTCATCTTGCCTTGAATATTATGTTTTGATGGTGTACCTTTTCCATAATTTGATCTGTTTTGTTAACGGTGTTCAAATCTTCATTGTGAAATGTGTCAAAGAATATACCACAGAGTATAGGAGAGAGAGAT